CTTGGGTGACTCCCAGAGGTGCAGGTGACATTGTCATTCTTAGATGCGGCAGAGGAACACAGAGGAGGACCTTTGCTTTTAGCGGTCTTGCTCTCCTTCTCAATTGTGGTTTTGGTTTAATGCACTTCTAAGGGCTAAATGAATTAAGCTATTTATAAAGACATGAGCAACCTTCTTAGGATATTTAATGTAAATCTTCTTATCTTCAACTTGCAGCAATTCAAAATTCCTTGTAGAGTGAATATTTGAGAGGAGAAGAAGAATGGTATCTTAACAGGGACCTGGGAAGAATGCAGGCCTTCCAGAACATGAAGTCAGCATCTGTGGAGAGGCTTAAAAGGGTCATTTTGCTCTTTCAGCAAATATTGAATATTTCCTGTCTGTTGGGCAGATACAAGAAGTGTTCTTCTGCATGTAGCACAGGAGAATGGGGGGGGGGGGGGCTTCTGGCTGTATTCACATGCGGATGTGGATTTACTATTCACATTTTGAAGATAAGTATTAAGCCCGTTTAGTTCCGTGTTCCTGGATGCTTGTATTAAGGGGAACTTACACTTTGAGCAGTTACTAAAATCTAGATTTGCCTCTACTTGTTGTTGACAACAACAACTTCAGTTTTTCTCATTGCTGGAAAATCAGACTCCAGGATTATGGGTGGTTCTTGCTTTCTGCTGCATTCTGGAGTTCAGACTCCTGCAGTTCTTTGTGATTTGTGAAGTCGGGTAGGCCCAGACCCATATTTTTGCCAGGCCCTATTTTCTAATCAGTTGTTTCCCATACTTGCCAAATCCTGAGAGTTGCCAGGAGGAGCATGTGCAACATAGACATAAATGATCCAGCCCTGATGAGCAAGACCTCATGGGAGGGGTTTGCAGAATTGATGTAATTGCTAAATCTAGTCCTCTCCTTAGAACCTTCCAGAGGCTTACTGTGCCTGGAGGTAAAAAGGCTGCATGGGGACATGAGCTACTAGGACCTTTGTGTTGCCCTTGTCTCTTCAATTCCAGTGCTCTTCATGCTCTTCCACATGTGTTCACCTAAATTGGCCCAGCCCTCCAACAGGAGGAACATGGGAACTCTCCCTTCTAAGCATTTGGGTACTTGCTGTTCCCTCCCTCTGCAAGCTCTTCCTTGCAACCATGTGGATCATTCCTGCTTCTTTGCCTCCCTCAGGGTTTAGCTCCAGGACACTTTCTCAGTGAAACTCCCTGATCAGGGTATTGAAAGTGCACCCTGGCCCCCAGCTATATTTTAATCCAAGCTGTGCTTCATTCCATGCTACTTATTGCTCTCTATCCTCTCCTGTGCTTTATTCATTTAAAAGAATCAACCTTCTCATTCCTGATGCAGTCTTACTAGGGTGTGATTTTTGACTACTCAGTTCCCTGTAGCATCTCAGAGTCCAACACAGTGCTTAGTGCACATTTGGGGCTCAGCATATATCTGCTGAATGGGGGCCTAGAGTGCAGCTCAGTGGAACAGCACTTGCCTAGTATGTTGAAGTCTTGGGTGCAGCCCCAGCATGCCTCTCCTCCAAAGCAAAAAAAAAAAAAAAATCTGTGGGATGGATGGATGGATGGGTAAATAGATGGGTTAATGGATTTGTGATGAGTACCACCATTCTTCCTGTCACCTGGTGGTCTAACAGACATTTAGGGGGAAACTGAGTAAACCACAGGAAGTGTTCTATTTCCACAGGGTCATTTCTCCCCAATTTCCAGGCCCTAGCACTTGCCCAATGCGTCGCCCTCACATGTAGCCGTGTGTTCCTTGCTGTGAATAGCTGTGCAGGAGTGAGGAGTCTGACTTGTGCATGGGTGGGAATGTTTTTGGGGGTGACTTATTAATGATTCATCAGGGTGAACAAACCAGCCTGGTAGGCAGCGCCTTCATTCTGCAGTTTAACACTCCCATCTTGTTACATTTCCCACCTTATTATCTCTTACAGTGTAAGATCTTGTAGTGTAAGATTCAACTGCTGTACTGAATTCAAACAGGAAATTTTTACCTCTCCAGGAACTGCTCTAAACTCTCAGTACTAAAACTGGGGTCCTTGCACCTTCAGCCTTGTCCTTGCTGGGGAGCTGGTTCATGGTATTCTGCAGAGGTTCCTAGAACCAACACCCCTCTGTATACTGAGGGACAAATGTATATTTGGGTAATTATTTTATTTTAATGCTACACAGTAACCCTCTCTTGCATGAGTTTTCTCTCAATTATATCTATACTTTTTAATTTTTAAAAATATAAAAAATATTTTTTGTAGTTATAGATGGACAGAATGCCTTTATGTTATTTGTTTATTTTTATGCAGTGCTAAGGAGTGAACCCAGTGCCTCACACATGCTAGGCAAGCACTCTGCCACTGAGCTACAGCCCCAGCCCTTCTCTCAATTATTGATCATGATGATTCTATCTCAGATGAAAACATTTTGTACTTCTAGTAGAGTGAAAGTAAGTGTGTACTTCCCTTCCCCACTTTTGTTTTCCTGTCTCTCCTTCCTCACCAGCTCTCCACCTTCATAATGTTCAGAGACATGTGGGTCTCTTAAGCATGCTGAGCCTTTGACTAAAGAGGAAAATGTTCACACCTAGAAGGAGCCATGTGCCAACTGTATGTGTGCATATAGGTGCACATGTTTGTGTGTGTGTGTGTGTGTGTGTGTGTGCTGTGCAAATGGAGTCTCAAGTTCAAGTGTTGTATTCAAATTATCTTGCAAAACACTTTCTGTTGTCTTATCTAAGAGTGTGTAAACTTTCCTGCTTCCTTTCCTGCTGATGTTAGTTGCTTTATTTCAATGGTCAGAATGGCCATCAAGAATGGAGGGTGTTCCATTTGACTTTGTCCTCTAAGTGTTAGTTAAGAAGACTTCCTGTACTGTGAGCTCTCTCATGTTTAGCATGTTTTCTCTACTCTTTGATGTGCATAATGTTAGCTAGTTTATTCTGTCTGGCAGAATTTTTCAGTAACATCCCAGTATACTGTTGGGAAGAGGGACTCCATCCATGTAAGCACTTATAGCTAATAAAGTGATATCTCTTTAAGGGTCGGATTTTTAAAGTTTGACTTGTTTTGAAAATGATCTTCATATATTTTATCATACATCTCGAGCACCTAGGCAGAAGGCCAACAATGATTTTTTTTTTTTAAGGACAACTGTGATCACTGTGAATCGTGAAATGCCAGGCAGTTGTATCATGGGAAGATCTTCTCTGAGGTGGTGGCATTAAATGTGACAGGAGGCCATTTCTTGATACATTATATGGCCTCAGGCATTTGTGTTTCTTGAGTTGTCAGCTTTGGTTTTATTTTGTCTTTCTGGGACCAGTTGATGTCAGGTATTAATAATAGTACACGTGCCCCTGGTATATGCTGTCTCCTGAGCCCTTTGTCCTTCTCTTTTGATGCTTCTAATTTGTTGTGCATTTGGAACCTGCTAGATAATCTTGCTAGAATGTATTTCAATTAAGGATGGGCTCAGAGTCATGCTTTTAGACAGTGATCTAGGCATCAAATAAGTACTTGACTCTCTTTCTTTTAATTTTTAAGTAGGTACTTGAATAAACCTGTAGGTAGTTTATATACTTATGGTTTATTTTACCTCTTAGGGTCTCAGTTTATAACTTTGGTTTATTTCATTGTTTATTGACCGCATTGTGCTCTGTGTCAGGAACATATTGAGATGAAGTGAACATTCTTACTGTTTCCATAATCTGTTCTGGAGCTAGAGAAATAGATGTAGCCATTTCTCAGTATCTGTGGAGGATTGCTTTCAGGGTCCCCCTCAGATACCAATATCTGTGGATGTCTAAGTCCTTCATATAACATGGCATAGTATTTGCATTGAACCTACATAACATTTTCCCTTATACTTTAAATCATTTCTAGATGACTTATAATATCTAATACAATGAAAATGCTATGTAAATAACTGTTATACTGTAATATTTAGGGAACAATGACAAGGAAAAATGGCATGTTCTGTACAGATGTAACTTTCTTTTTTTTGGATGTTTTCAATCTGTGGTTGGTTGAATCCATGGATTCAGAACCCGAGGATGCAGAGGTGTACCTTATGAATCAAAGCAGACTTTACATGACAAAGGGATAAACACCATATTGTGGGCTTGAAGAATAAAGAGTCATTATGACTTTGGTCATATTTAAGGAGTACATAAGACATGGGAGGATAAGATGGGAACGACTTTTTAACCATGGAGAGGCTTGTAAGGTGGAAGGGAGAGGATGGCTCAACTGAAGCAAAATGTGAGCAAAGGTGGACAACTAATGGGTGCATAGAAGGAATGGAATTTGTTTAGGTGTAGTTGCAGCACACAATATCAGTGGTGTGTATCCAGACAGACACGTTGAACTGTTAGGTACATGTGTGTACCTAACGTGGCTCATGGCTTCTAGATGAGGGGGGGCAGATGTCCCTGCTTATACTATGTGAAAACTAAACAAGCATGTATGTATCAAAGTTTGAACACAAAGATCACCTTGGGAGATTTTCTGATCAGGTGTCCCCTTCTATAAAATATAGGTCTGTAGGAGAACGTCTAAACTGCAACTTCCTTGTCCTGAGTTTTTTTTAAGCAGCAAAGAGGTGTTTATTGCGAGCTAGCTCGGTCCGCGTGCACACAGCAACTGGTGACGCTGAGAGGCCCCGAGCCCAGGGTTTGCAGCAGTTTTATACACTCTTTGGGGAAGGCAGGGACTTCACATACATCATAGCATCTCTTAGCAAATCATCACACACCGCAGGAAAATCAAACAACAACTCTAAAACATGATTAGAACTTTCACTGGCGGGAACAAGTTGGGGGGTGATTGGTTACTACAAGAGGGGGATTCGTTTGAACTGATTGGTTTAAGCCAAGTTTTGAAACATTATGTTTTTACAAACTGGTTGTAAAGTTTTAAAAACTTTTTGTTTTGTTCTTTTTTTAAAAGGCTTTTCATGTGTAACTAATGGTAGGATTTTTCTTTGCATTTACAGTACAGCCAAGTACAGCGTGTTGACATTTCTACCTCGATTCTTGTATGAGCAGATTAGAAGAGCTGCTAATGCCTTCTTCCTCTTCATTGCCTTATTGCAGGTAATGCCTTTTAAAAAGTACTTAAAATTTGCATACTTAATTACATGCAAAAAGGAGATTTTGATAACAGGTTCCTTAACTTGAAAAAGTGTTACAATAGTTGCCTATAGTTTGTTTCCCTAATCTAATCATTGATGGTATCAACAAATGTGATTTTTGTAGAAGGAGAGACTTCTTTTGGTATTGCCTTAAGGATAATTGAGTTAGTAAAAGAGGCATGGAAAAAATGGTTCTTGAGGGGATATATTTTTAACTCTTGTGTTTTAAACACATTAGCAATTGAGTAAAATTAAAAAAAAATATCCAAAATGCATAGCTAGTTTTAAAAATAAAGCAATCTTTTTTTTGTGTGTGTGTGTGTAACAGAAATGGAGTGGCACTGTGAAAGAGTGAGCTGTAAGTGCCATATTTTCTTTTATCATGGAGGATTTTAATGTGCTAACTTCCCTTTTGTGGTCTTTTACAGCAAATTCCAGATGTATCTCCAACAGGAAGATATACCACCCTGGTGCCATTTATCATTATTTTAACAATTGCCGGCATCAAAGAGATTGTAGAAGATTTTGTAAGTGTTTGCTTTTTGGATTACAACTGATAATGTATGTGCTGCTTTGGATGATATGTCCGATACAGGGAATTAGGCAATAGTTTAACCAGCCTTTAGACTGGTGATAGTATTTTTTGGGGAGATAACTTGTACTCAATGTCTTAGATACACAAAGTGATCCTGGAGCAGTTTCTAGACCGCTTTTGATGTTTATCACTATTGTTTCTTAACTCCTGCTTTAAAGTTTGTTAATTTGGATAGCAAAGAAAACGTTATAGTGTTGTTCAGGAAAGCAGCATTATGTTTGATACACCTGAGGGAATTTTACAAGAATCTTTCTTCTCACACTTTTAACCTGTGGCATCTCCAAGTTCCTTGGCTATAGCCATGTTTCTGTTCTCACTCTTTCTTCTTTTCTTTCTCTGTCTCCCTCTCTCTTCCTCACATGCTCACATGCACACACTTGGCCTCCTAGACACATGTACATCTTTTGAGGAATAGGTAAATCAATTAATGTAAATTGAGATTGAAACCAGCTGTCTGTTGTTGGGTTTATTTTATTGAATTGTTCTTCTAGTCTGTTTGCAAACAAATGAAAAGTAAGGAGCTTGTTGACTGTTAAGAACCAAAACATCATCATTTATACCAGAATAGACCACATCTAAATTTAGTAAATGATACTAGATCACAAAATAATTAAGCTGACTTTTATAGCATTAGAATTATTAGTTTCTGGGGGCAGTTAATTTCTTTGACTCCAGTTCCAAACCTCTTACTTTGCTCTTCTTTTTGTCCTTTGGAACATTAAACCCAGGGCCTCATACATGCTAGGCAAGTGTTCTACCTCTGAGCCACATCCCCAACCCTTTTTATTGTTTATTTTGAGACAAAGTCTCATTAAATTGCTTAGGGTCTCTCTAAGTTGCTGAGGCTGAACTGGGACTTGTGATCCTCCTGCTTCAGCCTCCTGAGTTGCTGGGATTACAAATATGTCCTGCCAGCTTGGCAACCAAAGCTGATCTTGAAATTGGGATCCTGCCTTAGCCTCCTAAGTACCTGGAATTACAGACATGCACCACTGCACCTGGTTCTGCCCTTATTGTTTGTTATTTCAGTTTTTCATTTAGAACTTTTGAATCTAAGAATCATTTGTTTCTTTCTGTAACAGAAACGACACAAGGCAGACAATGCAGTTAACAAGAAGAAAGCAATAGGTAAGATACCAGAGACTATCATTTTTTTCCTACATTGTTGTATGACTAAGACCTGCATTTAAGTAAGTAGTTAATGATACTGAGATAAATTAGAAAAATAATATTAGTCCTGATAATTAATATTTGAAAAGGACTGTGTATTTTAGGATTTTAGAAAAGGTTGTAATTATCATGAACTAGACTGTGTTTATATCCATTGAAGTATTCATGTCCCTGGTTTATACTCTCTCCCTACCTCCCTTTTTCTACTTTTTATTGTCTTGCTATTTTAGCTGCGGTTATTTTTATTGTTGTTGTAATTGTGTGTTTGACATCTGTTTTTTTCCTGCTTCTGGGAGGAATATAAGTAGATTTTTTTTTTTTTGGTGAGGAGTGAGGGTAGGTACCGGGGATTAAACCAGGGGTGCTTACCTACTGAGCCACATTCCTGGCCCATTTTTGTTTTGGAGACAGCTTCTCCCTAAGTTGCTCAGAACCTCACTAAGTTGTTGAGGCTGGCTTTGAACTTGCACTTTTCCTGCTTCAGCCTCCTGAGCTGCTGGAATTACAGGCATGTGCCACTGCACCTGGCATAAATAGATTTTACTTACATATAAACATAAATATTTATGTGTTTGCAGAAATGTATGTATGTTACAGAGTATATAGATTGGGGCTCCATTTTTGTGGATAATGATGTTATGTTTTTCTGTCAAAGGATACGATATGTTAGAATTAATAAATAGAAGTTTAAAAGGAGCCTTTTGGATTTTTAGGAAGCTGCTTTTATTTGATTGTCACCAATCTTAACTGACTCAGTGTTTATTTTTTCTTTTCCAGTGCTAAGAAATGGTATGTGGCATACCATTGTATGGAAAGAGGTAAAAACTAATTTTAAAGATAATACTGGAAGGTGTTGATTTAGAGATTTGTAGTGAATTGTTCGTATTACACAATATAAAGTTTTCATTGAGGTCAGGTCATCTCCATTTTATATAAGTTTTTCCATTAGGTCTGCTGAGAGCTGATGAGGGTTTCCTCTGTTTCTGGCCACTTCTAGAATGTACTTGTGAACTTCATTTCACAAATTTCAAAGCATTTCTAAACCCAATGTGAGAAACATTTTCTGTTGTTCTCTTGACCTAAATTCAGATGTTTAGAGTTGTTTTTTTTTTAAACTTTGAGATTCTCATTTCTAATAATTATTGGTGAAAGAGTTATCACTAAATACAGAGTTTGAGTAGGACATCCTGTGTTTTGGTTCTGAGGTGGGAGTAGATGAACATGAACAATAGTTGCTGCTCTTAACTTCATGGTAGCAAGAAATGATTTTTGACCATATTCCTGGAAGCATGACATGGGGAAGGTTCGAGAATGGTGGTCTTTGGTTGTTTGAAATAATGAACAGGAAATATAGAAGAAATCTGGTCTGTTATCTTGATATTTTGTAACTGATAAAATTAGCTTTTTAAGTGAGTCTGTTAAGAGGACCTTCTTAATGGATCAGAGATGTTTTTCAGGGATGCTTCTCATTAGTCCTCTCAATTAGTCTCATCAAAGCGGATGATTTCAAGAGAAAACAGCTTTTTAGAAGGGCAACTAAAAATAGTTTTTATTGCTAAACAATTAGCAAACAATGTTTTAAATATGTCCTATGGTCTTATGTATCTGAAAAGAGTGACCAGGATATGGTTATTGCAGCCTTCACTTTGGTTTTGTTTACTTTTGCTTACTTTTACAAGATCCACCACCTTTTAAAGAAATTTCCCCTTTATAGTGTTTTTCATAACACCTTAACCTTTATAGCCTATCTAGAGGTCCTGTGCTGCCCACATTCATTGGTCTCCCCGTCATGTGCAAGTGAAATGTGGTAGTTCTTGGTCAAGACATTAGAAATTGTTGACTTTGGGGAGAGAAATGCTGCTAGTGCTTAGGAAGTCAAGGGTCCCCACGGCCCTGAGGAATTGCCCCTTTATTTTTCTTCCCCAGAAAAGGCTCTGTGTTAGTCAGCTTTCTATCACTGTGACCAAAGTACCTAACAAGAATAACTTAAAAGAGGAAACATTTATTTTAGCTCATGGTTTCAGAGATTTCAGTCCAGAGTTGGCTGAGTCCATTGCTCTGTGAGGCAGGACATCATGGCACAAAGAGTGTGGTGGAGGCCAGCTGCTCCATTCACCATAGCCAGAAATCAGAGAGAGGGAAGGGGTGAGGGGCTGCGTGGAAGAGGACTGTTCCAGGGCACAACCTCGGTGACCTACCTTCTCCAGACGTATCCCACCTGCCTACAATTACTACCCAGTTAGTTCATTTAAATTAGGGTGGATCGATTAGATTACAGCTGTCATGATCCAATCCTTTCACCTCTGAGCATTCCTTCATTAACGCAGGAGCTTTTGGGGGACACTTCATATACAAATCCTAACAGGGGCCAGAGTGAAGAGGAATTTGGATCTGGATTGTCTGATGTTACTTAAAACAGTGGGAGATGGAGTGATGGTCACAGATTTTTGGGTTCAGAAGTTGATGGCCTCAAAATTTCCTTAAAGCTCATTTCTATTTCCCCACATACTTTTGGGAGAAAAATACCAACAGCAACAACACACCTGTTGAATACCTTGCCACATGCATCTTTATTTTAAATTTAAAATGCATTTTATTTGTTTATAGATCCATTTGCCCAGGAAGAATAGAGCATGGCCCCTGCCCTTGTTGTGCAGTGGTCCACAACACTTGGCCAGCATTCCATCACCTCAAAATCTGATCAAACACAGATCTGGCCCCCCTCCAAGATTTTGTGATACACTAGGTTCTAGAATTTGCATTTTTAACAAGTTTATGGGAAGAGGTTGATGAGGATGAAGTGGGGTGCACACTCAAGAACTGGTATAGTGGAGAGACAGTTGGCATGCTGAATTCTCCAGGGCGTGTGCGGGTGCCTTGGGAACATCTTCAGGGGGCAGTTAATCTGGAGTGATTGGTTCTAGTCAGGCAAGGATTTTCTCAAGAGATGTTCAAGGAAGAGGGTGTGAAATTGAGTTGTTTGGGAGGACCAGGTACAGCTGTACAACTTAGTATAGTTCAGAGTGAGCACAGGGATATGGGAGAGAACAATGGTGTCCAAAGCAATAACTCTAATCCAAAATGTGTTGAGGCTCAAGCAGCAAGCTCCTGGGGTGGAACTGGACAGGCAGCCTTCAGCTATATCTCAACAGCTCTGGTCACTACTGAGAGCGTTTTTTGCCTCCTTCATCAGTAAGAGACTTGAAGAATCCTGTGAGGCTAGAATGAACTCAGGGGCCTGGAATGGTTTCTTTTCCACTGTGTTAATTCTTTTAGATAGTATCACATATGCAAGGGGCAATCATGTATAAGAATATCAAATAGAAAATCATTTTGAAGCAGATTCCCAGGTAAGTAGTTTCTCATGAACATGAAACTTCTCTCTCTCTCTCTTTTTTTTTTTTTTTGTGGTGCTAGGGATTGAACCCATGGCCTTGTGCGTGCAAGGCAAGCACTCTACCAACTGAGCTAAATCCCCAGCCCTGAAACTTCTTAATACTTGATTACTAGAAAAAAAAAAAATATATATCTATATTTAAATTTAGAAATAAAGGTGAGAGAAAGCCGTAATTTCCCTTGTCTTCCCCCTTTGAATTAGGGAAAAAAAAGTCTTTTTAAAAATTTTTTTTGAAATAAGGACTAATTTTTCTTTCTAGTGTTTTCTCAAGTTAATTGCTGCTTCTGATTTTTCTGTGTAATTAAACTGAATAGATTATTTTTAGTTTTAAATAGTACTTTAAATTTACATAAATATCCCTTGCTTTTTGTGCTGATGATTGTTAAAATAGCTCTGTAGCAGCGATTCTTTAACTTCTCTTTATCTTGGAATATACTTTAATTATATGCCTTTCTTTTGCCTTTAAGTTGAATACTAATTTATGTCTTTGAATTTGGTACTAACTGTAAATGCACAGGGTTCTAAAAATTAATTTTTACCATCCTTGTCTATGTTGAACCCAATTAGACTTCCCCCCACACTTTGATAGCAGTTCACAGCACTAATAGAATACCTTTCAGAAAACTGTTTCTTCTCTCAATAGTAGTTTTTGTTTTTGCAGTGTTTGGGATTACACCCAGTCTTTGTACAAGCTAGGAAAATGCTCTACCACTGTGTCACCCCCTACCTCCCTGAAAGAAAATAGAACGGGTACCTGCTAGTTTTTATAATCTAGTAATTTTTCACAAGTATTATATAAGTTTCTAAAAGAATAATGATATGGTTAGAATAGGAAACAGGAAACATTAAGTACCCATTTTGCATTTTGCAATTTTGTAATACTTGGTCTTCTTTTTAGATGTCATAGAGAATTCTAATTCCCTTGACTTTGTCACTGACGATGTCCATTCAGTGACACACATGCTGAGTAGGACTACACTCATATACCAATTTTGTGCCAGATGCTGTATATGCCACCTTAAGAGCCAGTGGTATTCTTTTCCCATTTTAGAAGTGAGGGTTCTGGAGCCCTGGGAGGTGAGGCAGCTTGTCACAATCATAGAACTAGTATGTGTCTCTGAATTTGGGACTTGCGCCTGTGCTTGCTTGATTGGAAAGCCCACAGTCTTTCTCAGTTGGTGCTTCTTCTGAAATTATTTAAGTGATTTTTAGACACTTACCCAGGAGGCTTTTGGAAGGCTATTATAGCCTATCCTGGAGTACTAGTTAACAAATAGATAATTGTAAGAAAATGTAATGTTCATAATTGTTCAGATGCACCTCTTTTCTCCATTTATTTTTTTCTTTTTCATGAAATGGTGATGCAAGTTGTCCCTCAGTATCCATGAGGATTGGTTCCAGGATGCCCCATAGATACCCCAATCCACTAATGCTTGAGTCTCTGATCTAAAATAGTATATCATTTGCATAAAACACAAGTACATCCTCCCATATACTTTAGATAAACCTCCCATATACATCTCTAGATGACCTAGTAGAATGTAAATGCTATGTAAATAGTGTTATACAGTACTGCTTAGGAGATAATGACAAGAAAAATGTATATATTAAGTACAGGCACCCCCCCCCCCCGCCAATTTTTGATCCTTAGTTGCTTGAATCTAGTGCTGCAGAACCCACAGACATGGAGGTCTGACTGTGTTCCAGGTTGTGTGGAAGCATTTTCCTTTTGCTGTTGCCAGACATGGTTTAGTTATATAATAACTTTCTTCTTCATTTATTTAACTACCCTGCTCACATTTGTGCTTTCTTTTCTTTTGTGCCTCTCTGTCCTTGTCCCTTTCTGTAGGTGGCAGTGGGAGACATCGTGAAGGTCCTCAATGGACAGTATCTTCCAGCAGACATGGTCCTGTTCTCCTCCAGGTCAGGTGTGCTAGTGGGCACATTTTTTTTGAAATGAATATTATCAACAATTAAGTATAAAAAAAAAAACAACTGTAGAACTCTTGAGCCATCTTTTCTGTTTCTACCTTGTGAATTACCAGAGTTACCATCCTATTCTCACTATCCTGTTCTCCAGTTAGTACTCTATTGGCTAACTGTAGTTTGAGATTTTGAAGCATTTTGGATTTCAAAATTTTGGATTAGGGATGCAGAATTGTTACAGTCACACAAACATTCCAAAATCCAAAACGATCCAAACTTGGAAAATCTGAAAATCCCAAACATTTTAGATAAAGGATACCCAACCTGTGCTTTTTTCAATTGCCTTCTCTTGCCTTGACCCTTGGTTTTGTTTCTGCCATTTGTCCTTTTAGGCTTTTTCTGAATTCTTTTTCTTACAGGTTTTGACTTCTTCTTGGCCTTTCTAGGGTATTCTCCTCATTGATAAGTACACTGATTCAAGGGCAGTGGAGTGATACATCCTAGCATGCAGGGGGCACTTACCAGACACTTCAGCACCAGTTTCCTGGTGGGTCAGACAGATAACAGTCTGCCCAGGCAGAACCCAGTTCTGCCCTTGAACAGGTGTTCACAGAAACACAGGCATTGTCTCAGTGTGGACATGACCTGAGGATGATACTTGCTCTTTATTCATCCACAATTCAAGCCCCATTTGCTCAAGTGGCATTACCTTGTTCTCCAGGTAGTTTTATGCTAGAAAGGTGTCATCACTCAGTGATATACATGATGGAACAGTGCAGCTCTTGGCTTGATGAATAAAAGTTCAGAGCAAACATCAGCCAAATACAGTGGTGGTTCTAGCACTTAGAAGTCTGAAGAAGGAGTATCCCTTGAGACTAGGAGTTTGAGAGCAGCCATGGCAACACAACAAGACTCTTTTTTTAAAATTTCTTTTAGTATATAGCAAAGAAAGAAAGTCAAAATCAGCATAAGGATAAACTTCCATTCTTGATTTTAAGATTAAATTATGATATTAAAAACTGTGTCTTCTATATTAATGGGTGGCTAGACTCATAGATCCTCATGCTGTTTGCATTTTCTATGATTACAAACAGTGTTTCTTGTATTGGATTTGATCATTCTTTAAGTTCTGAGCCTTAGCATTCATTTTATGCTAGAGATGAAAAATTTAAAAATAGGGCCTGTGTCCTATGGAGGGAGGAAAACACTGTAAACAGGGGGATTCATGTTTGGCCTTATTCGTAGGAAACAGAGTAACTCTTTAGACATGTTAAAGCTTTGATCACTTGGTAGTTTGGGTTAGGAGTCTTGTCTGTGACCCTCAGATCACTTAGTTTTAATATGGGATGGTTTGTCTGAGCTGACATATCGTCAGGATACTCCATGTGCCTGAGTGTGCACTTTGTGCTGAGTAGCCTGCTCAACACAAAGTGTCATTTAATCTTCCCAACTACCCTGGATATCCTTCATTCATGCATGGGACAATCAAGACACAGAGAGATTAAACCACTTGCCAAGACCATATAGTTCCTCGAGGTAGCATTAGGGGACTTGAATTTAGCTAGTGAGTTGCAGGGTCCATTCTCTTAGCCATTAACTATGCCAACTAACCTAAATCAGAAGGTTAGAAGTAAGAGTTTTATCTGCCACACTTATTTTAATTCTTTGGATGCTGTCCTTAAAATTAGGTATGAAGAGGTGAATTTGGTGTCAACATACTTTATATACAAACAGAGATATGGTAAATTGTGGTATAAAGGTGTATTAGGAATTGTAATGTAAAAAAAAATAAGAGAGCTCATGTATAATGGCATAATTTGGCGTGAACATACTTTATATACTGAGTTACGAAAAATTGATGAATAAAAGTTCAGAGCAAAGATCAGCCAAATACAGTGGTATCCACAGTGCTGTGAATGGATAATTATGATTATAATGCATTCCACTATTTTCATGTATGTAAGAAAAATAAATAAATAAACAAAAAAATTAGGTATTGGATTAAATAGTTGCCTTTTGACCCAGTAGAAAGTACAGGGAAGCAAAAAGGTCTGTCAAGTTTATGCCTTGATTCCCTAACTTCTGTGACTGTCATTTTCCTCAAAAAGTGTGTTTGTTCTGGCCACATGTTTTGGTCAGGTGTAGGCCCAGCCTCAGCCTTTAAGGATTCCCCTAGCCCAGTGATTGGGTCTTACTTAGGGCATCATGTGTTTTTGATGTGACATCCTTTCCTTCTCATTGACTTTCAGTCATTTCTGTCTTCTTGAGGCCAGGGGGTCCTTATGTGGGGCCTGCGAGAGTGGATTATTTGGGCAAACAACTTTGTATTGCTGTTGAGCCCCAAAGATGGAGAGTGTGTCTTCCTTTATCACCAATCACTACTACTAATGTGGTTGTTTATAACAGTGTGTTTTGAAGGACTCATCAGCAGACATGGTTTTCATAATAGTTGATGAGCTATGAATCTAGGGAGATGATGTTACTAAATGTGGCCCTCTTTTTCCTTTTTCTCTCCTTAGTGAACCTCAGGCAATGTGTTATGTCGAAACAGCTAATCTAGATGGGGAGACGAACCTTAAAATACGTCAGGTAAAGTTACCTTTATAACTCATGTTATAGATGTTCAAGTTACAGTTGGTCCCAAATGTACCAGTCATTGTCTTTTGTGGAGAAGTTGTTCAGCCACCAAAGGACAGGCCTTAACCCTAATGAAATCTATGGAAATAATGTGTCTTTGATTATAAGGGGAATTTTTTGAGAGGGACCAAGAAAAAGTGGACTTTATTAAATTGTAGGTCATGGAGGGAGGGTATCATGTTTTCCTTTGTATCTTACTGGCCTCTCTATCTGTGATGCTGAAGAGAGGGGACATCCTCAGCCAGATTGATCTGGGTGATGGAAAGAACAGCAACTCTAGTGGACAAATGGAGTAGACAGACCCTGGGTATCTCAATTTACATTGTGTTGAAATTGAGATTCTAATTCTGGAGAGCGGTATATTATACCCCAAATTTTCATGCCTTAAATAAAATTATTCTCACCATACATTTTATTCTAACATGAGAAATAATATTTAATGTATTATTGACACTTTTTCTGCTGACTAAAGTTTAATTCAATAATTCTGTCTACAGATCTTTCTTTTCTCCGTAGATTTAGACATTTTCTTTTCTATTTGGAATTAATGAAGTTTATTATACTATTTTGTTTTTTATGTATGTTTGGAAATGTTCAGAATAAAATGTTTTAAAAATCAAAAAAGAATTAACAAGTTCTAGGCAGTGTAAAATATTGAAGGGATACTTTATTTTCTTGACCAGTGTTAGAACGCTTTCTAAAAGTCATTTCAATATGTTATTATTTAAGCATGGAATCTTCACCTTCTGCTAAACTGAAATCTTTTGCATGAGATTGTTGTGGTAAAAGCTGCCAGCTATCAGTAAGGATTTTGAGGGGCTGATATTTGCTTTATTCAATAATTGCATTGTAGATGGCTGGTTATATCCTTATGATTGACAGAATGCTGAATGTTGTCCCTTAAACATGGAAAAGAGTGTTCATTTTTGTCTTTTGATTTAAATTTTAGGGATTGAGTCAAACTGCTGACATGCAGACGAGGGAGGTGTTGATGAAATTGACAGGAACCATAGAATGTGAGGGGCCTAATCGTCACCTCTATGACTTCACCGGTACCTTGCACTTAGATGGGCAAAGGTGTCAACTTTCTTTATTATATTATTATTATTATTATTATTATCATTATTTTTTAATAATGTGACTAAGAGTTACTGAAGCTTTGGAAAAGTTGTTTGTTTCCTAGTCTCATAATATTTGAAAACTATAAGATTTCTCCATATTTAGCTTAATTCTTAGGCAAATTCTCTACCAAGTGAGCTACAACCCCAGCCCCAACTGAGCTTTTCTTGGAAAACTATTTCAACATCAGTTTAAAACTTCCCTTCCATTTAAACAAAAGTGATTTTTAAAAATAAATTTATTTATTTATTTATTTTTTATGTGGTGCTGAGGATCGAACCCAGCGCCTTGAATGTGGCCAGGCAAGTGCTCTATACTGAGCTACAACCCCATTCCCCAAGAAGTGATTTTTGACAAGAGCCCAAGGGCCTAAGATGAAGTTCATAGTAGGGGTCTGTTCTTCCTATATCCCTGTGACCTGCTGAACAGAAGAAAAGGTTTTAGCTATAACAAACAGAAAAAGCAGGAGAGATACCTGAATTGTTTAACAGTCAATAAACTTGTACGAGAAATTTATCCTTTTTTTTTTTTTTTTGCTAGCTCTCTTCTAAATGGAATTTGTTTGTATTTTATAATTTTTATTTTTGCAGTGCTGTGGATCACACCTAGGGCCTCCCACATACTAAGGAAGTGCTCTACCTCTGAGCTAGGACCCCAATCCCCTTTTGTTTCTGGAAAGTTGAATAAGTAAATTGTTATTCTCCCTCTATAGATATTCAGTGCTGGATTGTCTATATTCTGTTGTCCTTGTCTCGTGGTATTTGTTTTATTGTCCGAGAGTCATCTTGGTCAGATGTTGGGGTGCAGTCTCTATCTGCTGCCCTTCCTTTATCTGCATGCTCCTTATTAGTGCCTCCACAGCCTGTCAGGTGCTCCTTTTTATTTCCAATAGACCCATGGCTGCGAAGGACCTGTTCATAGTAATCAACCCAAAGCAAATATGATAACTAAGTGCACTTGCTTGTTGATTGTCATTTAATATGTGTAGCCAGTGTACATAGCCCCCTTTTGAATTTTTAAATTATCACTCATATCTTTATTTGATGATTACATTATCTTTGACAAATTTGATATGATACATTTATTGCTTATTTTTTTTCTTATTATAGTCTATAAAATAAATTGGGTTTTCCAAATGAATAAGCGTCTGGTTGTTATTTTAGCTCTTTCTTTTCTAGGTATTTTGTTTCACAACAGGATTATAAGAGACATAATTCCCTTTAAAACTTCATAGGAAAAAATAACAGCCTCTTTCTCCATAGTGATGAGTGAATAAAATGGACATTTTCGTGGGTCTTTTTTTGGTAGATTAAGCCAAAGGTAACATTTATTGATCAAATTTGACTGAAGGGAGCATTTGCTTTATTGTGGGTTTACATTTAAGGGGTAAGCTCAAGCTTGTCTTGTCAGACTATCATTAAATATCAATGTTGTTTCTTACTTTTAGCCCTGTTGCCCTTGGGCCTGACCAGATCTTATTAAGAGGTACACAGCTTAGAAATACTCAGTGGGTCTTTGGCGTAGTTGTTTATACCGGACACGACACCAAACTCATGCAGGTAAAATGTTTCTGTGCTGCAAAACAATAATAATTTTAGTTTGTCTTTGTTCTTACTTATTTCCCCCCACCCCTTTTTTTGTTTTGTTTTGTTTTCATTGAGTGGAAAGTTTGAAATTGTATTTAGGAAGCTCAAGTTTGTCTTTCAACCTAAATTAGGAAAGAGAGTGCCTTAGGTAGTTTCTTCTGGATTTTTATCTTAACAGATATTTGTTACCTCTTGCCTGAAATACAGATGGTCTTTGTTTTCTAGATTTAAGAGGGATGAATGATTCTAACTTACATTGTTTTCTGAACTTAAGTGGCGATTAGCTTTAACCTTTTTTTTTATTTCTCAACTTCTTTTTATCCCAGTTAATTATATTTCACAGTAGATTTTTATTTAGCTGAATTAAAGAACTTATGCTTAGTCTTCATATACCAAAGGAAAATATTCATTTAAAAGAATTTGCTCTTTTTCCCTGTTAATTTTTTTTAAAAAATCTCATTGGTGAATTGATAGCACAAATTATATTATGACACATTTGATCAGGCAGCTTTTGAAATTCCACATCAGTTAGTGTCCCTCGTGTCATTTCTTACATTCCTTTGGTATCATTTGGGATTATTTTTTGCTAGTGGTAGCTGTTAATGAGAATTGACTTTTCCTCTTGTTTACCCTTTTATGTAACTTATAAAGCACACATTCGGCTATGTTTCTTCATTAAAAAAAAAAAATGGTGACTACCGTGCACCAAGTCTTATGTTAAACCATATAGATACAATAATGAAAAGTCTAGTCTTACTCTCTGGGAACCAGGTAGAATAAGGAGTAGTATGGAATTATAAAAACGAGATGTTATAAAATATGTTGTTACAAAATCCTACAGTTTTTTTTGTATAAAAAAGGATCATATGCCCAGGTTTCAGGTGTCATTTGACTGGATACTACAAATAATTCTTGGGCAGAAACATGTTTTAAATAATGGGAAGGGAGACTGGTGTGTTGATCCATTCCTTGAGGTCAAATGATAGGATGAGAGCATTAAATATTAGAATAAATGGAATGATAGACCCAGAGCCACACCTGCTAATTGATCAGTGAAGACTGGGAAAGGAATTAGGATTAGAAAGGTGGAGACACTCACTGAAAGTTGAAGAGTATTGTTGGAGCTGTTGCCTGACAGATGGTTAAGTGTGTAGGATACTCATCTTTGAGTCTCTGAAGCTGAGTGTTTATGTGTGATGAGTCCTGGGGCTGAACCATGGAAATGGGAAGATTAAGCTAGAGCTGTAGATGGTCATTCAGTACTGAGCAGTAAAGGACTGAGAGGCTAAATTAATGGGTCGTTGGTGTTGCTGTGACTTTGAAGGTAGGATGACAGCAAGGTTGGGGCAGAATGGAATTCCATGAGCCAGGTGCGGAAATCCTCAGTGAGAAAGGGGGAGAGAGAGGTCAGTGGACCTGCTGCCGGAGAGGGCAGAATATAGGGCAGCCAACTGGTGTGAGTTTTACAAATGAATTTGTTAACGTGGCATTAGAGGAATAGAAATCCAGAAGCATTACAAGGTCTTCGATGTACATATAGTAAACTATCTCCAGATGCCAAGGGATGGAGTCTTTGCTGAAGTATCTATGCTGTGGAGGAGGCCCTAGTGAAGGTGTGTCCTCCACTGGGTAAGGCAAGGAGCAGGAGGAGATCTTGTGAAGCAGGAGGAGGACCTAGGGCAGTTTCAGTCACAGAAGGGTAGGGCACTAAGGCGCAGTGGAATGCTTGCAGAGACTGTGTGTTGGATTCCATGGCAGGTAGAAAAAGAACAGTTGGCAACTGCTGGAAGACAACTCTTGCTGGATCAAGATTGTTCCACCTATCTGAGATGTGTCCCATTTACTCCTCCTGCTCGGGCCTCATCTATCCACAGAGGCTGATTAGAAAGCTTTCTGAGCAGTCTGTACGCAAAGTCTTTAACTTGGTGAAGAGCTGATTGCTGTGCCACCAAGTGAGTGGCATTGAACTTCTGTAGCCCAATGACAGTGACCTTGGCAAGCACTTGGAACTCTAATAACCAAGATCACTATTCCTATTATTTTGTGATGAAGTGATAAAGAGATCATGGGTGGCAGGGCCCTGATTCTAGTTTTCAGCTTGTGCACATCACAAATCCAAGCACACTCCAGGCTTCCTTGAGTATTGGGTCACTTTGTAGGGTAAGGTACTGTTTTCTAGATCATATATTGGTGATACAGCTTTCTAGCTAAGGTCTAATAGTTATTTGTACTTTAAAACATTCTTACCATCTCTTTAGCTAGCAAGGTGTGCACCAGGTGAGCCCATGCAGTTTGTAGCCCATGAGTGGGAGAAGCACTTTCCTTTCCCCTCAATGTGACAAACTTCTCGATGAGGCTTATTGCTCAAGTACAGAATGATGGAAAGCCCCAGAAACATCTGTGCTCCTCTTACTGTGCCTTTAGGGCTGAATCAACAAGTAAAAATAATGAGCTTTTAAAAGAATATGATATCACACACATAGCTGGAAGCCATCCTGTCTGTGTAATAACATTTTTTTGTCTGTACTTGTAGTACTTGACCACAGAGAGGAACTCAATTTCTTTAGGGTTCTTTTTTCTTTTTCTTCCTTCCTTCCTTTCTCTCTCCGCCCCCACTTTGTTGTTGCCTTTAAATTTTTAGGTCAATGCTTTCTACTGTTGAGGGTTCCCTCTGTTAATGCTTAGTGTAGTTCCATGTAGAAATCTTTCAATCTACCATTTCTGTTGGTTGATTTAATGGGAAAAAGAGAAATTATCACCTTAATTAGAGCAAAAATTAGTATCAACAAATCATGCATTACTCTAAACAATTCACACATATTAACTCATTTATTCTTCAGTATGAGGAAGGGAACTATCACTATTCTTATTTTATAGCTGATGAAACTGAGGCACATTGTATAAATACGTAACCCAAGCTTAGAGATGGAGTTGGGATTTAAATCCAAGCAGGCAAACTCTGAAGTCATTGTTTCAGCCAGTATTCTGTGGCCCACTTTCTTTAATAAGAAATAAAATATGTCTTAATCCAGCGTTTTCATAATAGCATTTTGACCTGTTTCTACGTACAACTCCATTGCATCAAAGTAGCAGTATTTTTTAAAGAATTTTATAGAACTTGTGATTCCATTAGGAATTTAGCATTAAAAGTTCATCAATCCAAGAAGAGATGTTCAGGGTTTGGGGCTGAATGAGCAGAGCTTGGCTTTTCACAAAGTGCAGGTGTTGAAGCCTGATGTTTTGGGGTCATTTCTGTTGTGTTGGATATAAGATAAATTTTCCTAACCCTGTTAACTATCTGTAGTTCAACCATTGGAAAAGAAGAAAATAACTAATGGGGTCCTAGAAATGAGGTTAATTGTATTTTTTTCCTTCCTGTTCATTCAATGAATGTTTATTAAAAATGATAAGATCATATTTAGTTTTTAAAAGATTAGGATAAACAGTCTTGGAATGGGCCTGCTGGCTTTTGCTGGGAGACCAGATGGGGATGTGTTGTACCAGTTGACCTTTATATGGTATTTGATTGATGATAAGTTGGCCTTTACTAATGGATTTCCATTTAGAGTCTAAAGGAATTTTTTGAAAAGCCTGTAAAGGACAAATAATTTAGAGAACTAAAGAGAAGAGGAAAAAAAAGTATAAATAGAAGAAATGCTGCTGTGTTATTTAGATTCCTAAAGGACTTAGCTTTTCAAAATCCCAAGTATAACAATCCCCGACTTCTACCACCAAAGAAAGCCATGGCGATAGCATTACAGTATTTCTAGGTTTGGTGGTAGAATTCAAATAGAGTTCAGTGACATCATGGCATGAGATTCTCTCTGAATCTTAGGAGTGATTTGCCTCTTGTTTTCATCACAATTTTAGTTTTACATTGCAACTTCACTTATATTCTTTCTGAAGACATCTCCATCCTAGCTCTCTTTCAATGATCAGAGAAATTGAGGATATAGAAGACAGTGCTTACTTAAGTTTGATGCATTTCTGTGTTAGTTAATGCCTTATAAGCTTCCCTGTCACCCAGTCTTTGCAAATCAGTTTGGCTTGTGGAAAGCCAGGGCTTGAAACTCACGGAAGGAGACGTGCAGACTGAAGCTCCAGCACCCACCTCACACCATCCAGTTCGCGCCTTCTGATTTAATGCAGGAATTGCCTCACCTCCAGGAATGGATTATCATAATTAATTCCCACCTAGATTTACTTTCCTCCGTGTTTCCTCAACCATTTGTATTACTGTATTTTTTTTTTCCTATTGCGACTTAACAAATTCCCACAAATTTAGTGGCTTATAACCCCCCAAAGTTGCCATGTTTCAGTTCTGTAGGTGAGAAGTTGGATATAGGTCTTACTGGACTAGAGCTTAAGATATGGGCTGCTCTTCTCTGCAGGACCTGGTGGGTGTCTGCCCCTTACCTTTCAGCCTTTGGAGGTGCCTGTTTTCTTTGGCTTGTGATTCCTTCCCTCCATCTTCTAAGGCAGCGATATTGTAGCTCTCTGACCATCTGTTGTCACATCTCCCTCTGATCATGATCAGGAAAGGCTCTGCCTTCTGAGGACCCTTGTGATTATAGATTGAGCCCATTTAATTAATTCAGGACACACTCCCTCTCTCAAAGACTTTAATCATATGGGCAAAGGCCCTTTTGCAGCCATCACAGAGGCATGTGCCTACAATTCCAGTGGCTTGGAAGTCTGAGGCAGGAGGATCTCCAGTTCAAAGATAGCCTAAGCAAAAGCTAGAGGCTAAGCAACTCAGTGAGACCCTGTCTTTAAATGAAATACAAAACAGGGCTGAGGATGTGGCTCAGTGGTTGAGTGCCCCTGAGTTCAATCCCTAGTACCCCCCCCCCCCCCCCCCAAAAAAAAGTCCCTTTTGCCATGTAATATAACATATACATGTCTAGGGATTAGGATGAGGGCATTACTTTCCCCACAACAACTACTTTCAGAAATCATCAAATAAAATGACTGCAGGTGTGTAACTATCTTGCTCAGGGTGTTTTATTGACTTTCCCACTGTAGAGGGGATTTAGTCTTAAAATTTCTACCTGAAATGCCATGATCCTTGACTCTAGCTTTAATCTCTCTTCCCACGCTCACCTCCCAACACTGGCATGGGCTCTAGCCTCATCAAGAATGTTTTACCTTCCTGTCTATGTTCTGCTTATGATTCGGGTATTCTCCTGTCCACAAGGCCCTTCCTAACTTTTCGTTCTCATTTCTTGTTCACAGTTCTCCAAGTGAAACTTTATCTATCCATTAATTTTTACACCCGTGAATATTTTATTTTGCATTATTGATGTAAATGTCTTTGCATATATCTTCTTTCCTCACATTTTTATCTAATGGAAGGAAAAATGTATCCTTTAAAAATGTCTCTCTGTATATTTATTGTGGAGCTGTGTTATTACTTTGAAGGTTTTCTCTAGATTTTTTATGGTATAGACTCTCTAAGTTTCTCTTGAATTTGCAGTATTATGATTTCTTCTAAACTGGACTTAAATTATTTAGAGTCTCTTGTGTTCCATGATAATGGAAGTGGCTAATTTCATGCTAAGATGTAGTCATTGTGAGTGTGGAATGAATCATGTGGAGTTAACTAGCTGTAAATTCAAGAGCATGATATGCTTTCAAATTTCATTGGTAATTGGAAATTCATTTGGAAAAGAAATTGTCTTTTATTTTTCAGGTGTTGAATTTGGTTGTTTTACTTTGTTTTCTCCCAAGTATGCCCCCAAGTCTGTTGTGTGACTCTTATTGACTTTAATGCTATTTTACAGAATTCCACCAAAGCACCTCTCAAAAGATCAAATGTTGAGAAAGTAACCAATGTGCAGATCCTGGTGTTGTTTGGCATCCTCTTAGTCATGGCCTTGGTGAGCTCAGTGGGGGCCCTGTACTGGAATGGGTCTCATGGTGCAAGTAACTGGTACATCAAAAAGATGGGTAAGTGTTGGGGTGGGTTGCTCATTGAAATAGGACAAAAGCACCTTTGTAAAGTCCTTCCAGACATGGTCAGTGTTTGTTGGCTGTGCCATCCTTCTGTTTCCTCTGGCTTGTGTAATGAAGTGAAGATGGGCACATTTGGGGTTTGTTTATACTCAAATGATTATTTTTAAACAATTTAAAAATTTATTTTCTTCGTAGTTGCTCTTGGAATTACAATGTATATCTTGATTTATTGTAATCCATTTTTTATTAGTACCAACTTAAGTAAATAAAGAAATGTCACTCCTACTACACCTTCATTTCTTCCCCTTCTTGTGCTATTATTATTACAGGTATATGTTACCAATCCAACAATACAATGTTATAATTATTGCTTTATATTACCTTATATCTCTTAAAGAAGCTAAAAGGAAAAAGAAAAAAATAATTTTATGGAGATGCTTTATATTAACTTACTTGCTTACCATTTCTGATATTGTTTTTTGTGTGTATTAGTTATTGGCAGGTTATCATTTCTTTATGAACTTTTATACTTTCATATGTATTATACCTGCATATAACACCAAGATTGCAGTTCTATAATGAAATTTTATCATTTTTTTAAATCCAGAAGAAATCATAAGTGTATGTAATTATAATCTTTTAGAAGTACCTATATAGTTTTCTTCACTGTCATTCATTGTTTCTTTATATGGATTTAATTTCTGTCATTTGTTTTGTTTTTTCATCCTAGAAAACTTCATTAAATATTTCCTTGAAAGTGGATTGGCAACAAATTACTCCAGTTTTAATTTTAGAATGCCTTACTTTCTTTATTTCTTGAAGGATAGTTTTGCTGGATATAGAATTCTTATAGAATTCCGATTGACATTGTTTTTTCCCTTTCAGTACTTTGAATATGACATCTCACTTTCTTCTAGCTTCCATTGAATTGATTAAAAGTCTGTTGTTAACTGTATTTCTGTGTTTGTGTGTGTGTGTGTGTGTGTGTGTATGATGTGAGTCTCTTTTGTTGCTTTTAAGATTCTGTCTTCTGTTTTCAATAGTTATGTGTTTATTCTGTTGTTTGAACTTTGTTGAGCTTTTTAGATGTGCAGATTGACTTTTTTCTTTAAATTTGAGAAGTTTTCAGGTATTATTCAATATTGCTCTGTCACATTCTCAGTCTTCTTTTCTGCTCCTGCCATTATGTGTATGTTGGTATCCTTGGTGTGTCCTATAGGTCTCTGAGGCTCTGTTGATTTTTCTTTTTCTTTTGTTTCTCAAATTAGATAATCTGTGTTAACTTCTCCTCACATTTACTTATTATTTCCTCAGCCAACTCAAGTCTACTGTTGAGTTCCACTAGTGATTTTTTTTCATTTCATTTATTGTATTTTTTTCATTCCAGAATATCCATTTGTTTTTTTTTTTTTTTTAGAAATAACTTCCCTTTGTTAATATTCTTCATTTGAGAAGTTGTAATCATGCTTTTCTTTAATTCTTTAGCTTCCTTTAGTTATTTGAATATATCTTTGTTTGGTCCATTATTTGAAGTCTCCTTAGTTTCTATTGCTCTTTTTTTTTCTTCTTTATTTACAAGTTTCATATTTTTTTTTGTTTTTGAAAACTGGGTATTTTAGATAAAATATTGTAGAAACTCTGGGTTCTGACTTCCTATTCTTTCCGGGGCCTGTTGTTGCTGGATTTTGTTTAGTTTTTAGTGACTTTTCTGAACTAATTCTGCAAAGTCTTTTTTCTCTTATAGTAGTAGTCACTGGAATTACTGCTCTATTTCATTTCTTTGATTTTAATTTTAAAATTATTTTTAAATATACATTGGATTCAAATACATTCACAGATTTGTGCAACTCTCACTACTACCTAATCTTAGAATATTTTTGTTTCCTCAGAAAGGAAACCCATCCACATTAGGCAGTTCCTTACCTTATTTTAAAGTCTGGATTCTCTTGGGTCAGTAGGGCTTGCTGGTCAGCCAATGACTGGTTTTTAAGCCAGGAAGGAGTCTATCCTTTGTTGTTTGGTCTGTGGTTGGTTTAAGGTATATCTCTGACATTTGGGGAGATTAAAGTGCATCCTACTTTCATTTAGGGACTGGTAGCTCATGAGTGCCCTTTTTGGTTTCACATGAATAGATACAGCCTTGCACATGGATGTGACTTTTTACCTTATCAAGGAGAAATGTACTCTTAGGAAGGCTTCTTTGGCTATATTTTTCCCTGAATATCAATGCTAAGTTTCTAGCTGGTTTCCTGTTTTGTTTGTGAAGATATTTGCTTTTCTTGATTTGTCACTGAGATCTCTGTTGTTTTTGATAGTGCCCTGGGCATGGCCTTTGTAATACTCTATTCAAATAACATCAATTCCTTGAGTGTGTTCCTGTTCTGATAGCCAACCCTACTTGGGGTAGCAGCCTGCTCTGCCCTGGGATAGAATTTCTGCAGCATGGAGCTCCCGCGTAGGGAAGATGGGCGCTGGTAGTCATCCTGGTCTATCCCTACCACCCAACTGGAACAGAATTTAAGCAACATGAATCTATAGCTCTGGGGGTGGAGTGGAGAAGTAGTTTTTTGAGGGTTTATTGTTATTCCTATCTTTCAATATATTTAGTTTTTAACTGATTAAAACAATTTTAAAACTTTTCTAATTATTCACAAAGAAAACTCATACACATACACTTTTAACTTTCTGGGAGAACATTTGTTGCCACTTTACAAATGTGGGACATGTGACCGGAATTTCAGTTGTAGTTGGATCACAATCCCTTGGCATTGGTGCTTAAACTTTGGGTTTGGACCAAACTAGCCTCAAATGTGGAGACTGATACTATGTGTGCATATTAATTCCGCAAATGTCACAGTCTGGGTACATGTATAGCATTGACACCATCTTGGTATACAGGCTTTGTGTGGATTGAATGCCATTTACATTGCTTGAGTAATGTCAAACTTTAGCACTAGCTGCATGATTTACAGTGGAACAATGTTCTTTTTGTCATATTCATAATACTTTCTGTCTTGTTCTTATGATAGCATCTGAGTAACCCTGACAAAACCCAGCAGACTTAACATATTCATGGTCACTGTTGGAACTTTGACTTCAGTTCCTAATTGACTCTGCTCTTTCTTATCTTCTTTTGATGATTTTTTAGGTTAAACTTTTTTTTTACATACAGGTGGGGGTTGTATTTTTTATGGAACTCTTCCATTTCATGACTTTGGACCAGAAGTTTTATGGTTTCTGGAGCTTTGAGTTTGGCTTTTTCCCTGAATACACTCTACTTTTGAACACTATGTATAATAATATTAAACATTTTGAGCTAGTGTTCAAAATCAGAAAATTTCAATTTCTTTAAAAAAATTAAAACAAAATTAATTTTAGGAAATTTTTAAAACTTTAAGAAATGATTTATTAATATGTAATCTTACTGGCAGACAGATATTCATTTCTAAGCAAATGCTATACTTTAGGGGCATCTGTGTGTTGGGACTTAGAGATCCTATTTGGTGAGTCCAAATTCTACATTTGAGGAAGAAAGGCTGTCAACTGGCTAAGTGGTGCTGAGGGTGGTGGGAGGGTGGGTCTGCTGGCCAGCTGGTGACTACTCATTTTATTCTTTCCTAGCACTTCTTTCCATCACAACCACCGTCCAGAACTCCATATCTTAATCAAACCACCATTTGATTTAATTTCTTGGTTCAAAGCTCAGTAACTGTGGTTTAGAGTTGTTACAAATTTCTAATCACTAGTCATCACCTTCTGCCTTTCCATTAAAAACCTGCTGTGTTGGTTCCTGGGGTGCTCCACAACCTCCTCTTTAACAGCTGTGTCCTGCTGCGTGGTCACGTGGAGGGGCATGCTGTCTCTGCTCCATCTATCCCCCACCACCTCCTAGGAGAAACCAGCTCATAGTGACAGAAATTGTGTATGACTTGTCTCTGTACTCACAATTCCTGCAATAGAAGATGCACAACAGCAAGCACTTTTAACTTGGATCTAAATAAACCAATAAGCAACTTTTTTGTCAACATCTTTTAGAAAAAATTCAAAATAACAAAAATGAAAAGAAACTGACTAGAGACTATAATTAAAGCTATGCAAATTCCTTGGTTTTCTTCCACAGAATCAAGCTCGGATAATTTTGGATACAACCTATTGACGTTCATCATCTTGTACAACAATCTTATTCCCATCAGTCTGCTGGTGACTCTTGAGGTTGTAAAATACACACAAGCCCTTTTTATAAACTGGGTGAGTATTAAGGTGGAGTTTGGGCTATTGGAGAAATGCCAACTACTGCTTTCTAATACTCTCTTGGGCCTTTTGTCACTTAATTGAGCTCCTAGAAAAGGAAGAATGGAGTCCATTTATGACTAGGTCTGATGGTTAAGCCATCCAAATAGACAGCTGGTAAGGGTTCCCCTGAGAAATGGGGAGGACAGGGTGCCTACCCATTCACGGGGTTGTTGTAAAGACTAAGTGAGATAGTGGAGGCAGGATGCTCAGTGGGTGCTTGGTATCTGGCTGCAGCTGGTATAGATGCTTTTAAAGTCTCATTTAGTGCCAAGGAAATACACTCGTAAGTGTGTTTACTGTAGTATTCCTTATTCACCAAAATGCATTGTGAAAGTAAACTTGGACTTGATTGGAGGGATAGAGTTGTACATGTGTATGTGCTGGGAATAGACCCAGGACCTTGTGAATTCTAAGCATTGCTCTATCACTGAGTGATATCCCCAGCTCTAGAGTAGGGATTTTTTTTTTTTTTTTACTGGATTTTCATGGCCCTTAAGCACAGGACTTCAGCAGCCAATATTTGCAGATTAGTCACATTTATATGTACTTTTATTTGGTCTTCACAGGATTCCTGTGAATGAGGGACTAATCAAGCTCAGAATCATGAAGAGTTGGTCTAGGTCATGAAAAAACTAAACTTTCTGTATATAAAAGACCATATTTTCCTTCTTAAATTCCGAAGTTTCTTATCTTAACAGTCACTGTTTTCACCTCAAAATTAAAAATCATACTTATATCAAAACAGACGGGTTTTAAGGTACCTGTTGGTAGCTTCTATGTTAATCTGAATAAAGAATCGATGGTACATATTTTCCAAAGTGTGCTTTCTCTCTCTTTCTCAGGACATAGATATGTATTATGTAGGAAATGACACTCCTGCAATGGCCAGGACATCAAACCTTAATGAAGAGCTTGGGCAGGTGAGAACCTCTTTGAGAACTTTGGGTGGTAGTGGTGGAATGAGCAGGAGAGGAGACAAGTGTTAGCAGAACAACTATGGAGAGGTTTTGTAGGAACAGTTACCTGTGACTGTGGCTAGGACGTCTGAAGAGTTCTATGGTATCTGAAAGTATTAACAAATACAAATTTCCCTTGCCTTTGACTTGTTTTTTCCCTATCTTTTGTCACATAGAAGTTACCTGCAAATAGAATAGTATAAAAACATGGTACAAAAATATATAAGAATAAAAATTTGAACTTTTTAAAAGTATTTGTTAGGAGCCAATGACAGGGAAAACAAGGATCATATAATCGGATACTGGGAAACCCCCATGAAATGTGTGGGAGCTATTTGAAGGTTATGTGTTCCTCACATGTTTACATTTTGTTTGGAATATTCCAGAGAATCAGTGTCTTTCTTGCCTTCACCTAGAACTCTTCTTTTCTCTACTGAGTTGTATTTTGAGTTATGTCTTTTGCTTACATTGAAATCACAGCAGTTGAAATTTGAATGCACTGCAATTAAAGATTATGATTTCGCTTTATACATTGTAAACTTCCCAACCACCCTATGAGGTGGGGGCTATCATTCTATAGATGAGAAAATGAACACCTTACTCCAGGATCCCTGGTTTAGTGAATGGCCTTATGCTTCCCTGCTCAGTGTACGATGTCTCCCACATACTTTGTGTCCAACTGGGAAGATGCAGGTGAGATGTCTCAGTCATGAGAAGGCTAGAAAAAGTCTTGAAGCCTTAGTTGGAGGTAGGCGTTCTTTCCCATTCTGCAATGGTTTTTATAGTTTTGTTTGTTTCCAGAAAGTCAAGGCTTAAATTTGTGGGCAAAATCTTGTGATAGATTAGAACTTTATAGACAAAAATTGAAAGTGTTTCTTTGATAATATATTTCAAATCTACTTGGAGATCATAGCAGATATTTCTACCTTTTCTTGAACTGTTCATATTCACATCCATGCTTTTAAATTCTTAGTATAACAGGGTGGGTTGTGATTTAAGGGAACCTCCCTGGCACAGAGCACAAATCCTCCCCAGCAAGCCAGTGTCTCTGGCTTCCCTCTGCCCACCTGTGTTCCACTCACACAGGTGAGGGATAGTACCCAGAATGGGTCTCTGGGTACTTTTTCTTTCTTTATTTCTTTTTTTGGTACACGAGATTGAACCCAGGGATGCTTAACCACTTAGATATATCTCTATCCCTTTTCATTTTGAGACAGAGTCTCGTTAAATTGCCTCGAACTTGCGATCCTCCTGCCTCAGCTTCTCAAGTCCCTGGAATTACAAGTGTAATCGTGCCACTGCAATTGACTCTGGATCTTGAATTTTCACTTTTTAAAAAAATTTGATACCTTATATACAATCAGAGATATGATAAATTGTAGTATAAAGGTGTATTAAGAATTGTAATGCAATAAATAAAATAAATAAATAAATAAATAAATAAATAATAAATAAATAACTATAAGTGAATTAAACTTACCAGTAAACAAACAAAAAAATTTGATACACACTTTTTTGTTGTTGTTGTTGATGGATCTTTATTTAATTTATTTATATGTGGTGCCGAGAATTGAACCCAGTGCCTCACACATGCTAGGCAAGTGCTCTACCACTGAGGAACAAACCCAGCCCTCACTTTCTTTCTTTTTTTTTTTTTTTAATCTTACATTCTTTCTTTCTAAACTAGGTTTGTCATTAGTAAAATCATACTTTGATAAGAATCTCTGTGTTTTTGGTACATATCAGACTACTTTTGTCTTCTTTTTGAACGCTTCTCCAGTTTGCTAGGCAAGAATCTGTCTTCTATGTTCTCATAACAGTCTTTCCCAATATAGTAATATAGTAATATAAGAGATATAGTAATATAAGAGATGTGATTAGTCATGTGGTATCTGTTTCTTTATGGAGACTTTTGAGGCCATTTGAGAATAGAGAATTGCCCTGTACAGTGGGCCCTCACATTCACAGGTTCTGTATCCAGGGATGGATCCAACCTCAGACTGAAAATGTAGTTGAGTCTATGATGGCTGTGTCTGTATCTAACATGTACAGACTATTTTTTCTTGTCATTATTCCCTAAACATACAGTATAACAATGATTTATAATAGCATTTCAACTATATTAAGAAAGTCATCTAGAGATGATACAGAAAGGAAGCATACTGGAGTGTGTGCATAGGTTTTATGCAGCATTGTACCATTTTTTATAAGGGACATCCCTGAATTTTGGTGGGGTTCCTGAGGATACCAAGGGATGACCATATGGTCTTTAGTTGCCTTTTTCAGTTTAACACAGTGTTCAGAATATAATTATTTTTGGGTCCATAAAGAAGCTCTGAGAAATGGGAGGTTTTAAAGGACTCAAGACACCTAGGGTGATGGGGGGAAAGTTTGCATAGGGAAGAGTTTCTGAGTTGGAACTTTTAGTATCAATTAAGACTCGATAGGGTGAGTGATAGCAAGTCTTGATTATTTCTTATTAGGAAATTTTCATTTTTAAATATTTTGATATTGCTTAATTCTTTTTAAAAAAGGCAGAATGCAGATCCTATTCTACTTCTATACCTCCAGACTTGATGTATATAAAGCTTATTTAAAACTTACTGTTTATATGAGCTAATAAAATATTAATTACCTGCATTTGGTCAATATGCATTGTATACATATATTGAAGTATCACACTCTATATCCCTAAATATGTATAGCTATGTATTAATAAAAAATTTAACAATGTTTAAGGAGACAGAAATGCCAAATACCCTGATTTGATCTCCTTGTACTTTGTGTACATGTATCAAATTACACATTGAACCTCATAAATGTGTTCCATTAAAATAATTAATAAATGTTAAAGAACTTACTCATGGATAAAGTATAAATTGCCCTTAGTGTAGTAATTTTATATTTGGACATAACATTTGACTATTTTAGGGAGATTAAATAATTTTTCTATCTTGAATGCCCTTTGGTTGCTTTAAGAAATAATTCTCAGTTTACTTGTTTGCTTTGTCATTAAGAAAAAGTATCTGAGTAAGTCCCATTTGTTGATTCTAGTTATTAACTTTTGTGCTATGGGTGTCCTATTGAGGAATTTGGAGCCCGACCCCACCGTATGTAGATCATAGCCAACTTTTTCTTCTGTCAGACGGCGTGTCTCTGATTTGATATCAAGCTCCTTGATCCATTTTGAATTCACTTTTGTGCATGGCGAGAGAAAGGGATTCAGTTTCATTTTGTTGCATATGGATTTCCAGTTTTCCCAGCACCATTTGTTGAAGATGCTATCCTTCCTCCATTGCATGCTTTTAGCCCCTTTATCAAATATAAGATAGTTGTAATTTTGTGGATTGGTTTCTGTGTCCTCTATTCTGTACCATTGGTCCACCTGCCTGTTTTGGTACCAGTACCATGCTGTTTTTGTTACTATTGCTCTGTAGTATAGTTTGAAGTCTGGTATCGCTATACCGCCTGATTCACACTTCCTGCTTAGCATTGTTTTTGCTATTCTGGGTCTTTTATTTTTCCATATGAATTTCATGATTGCTTTCTCTATTTCTACAAGAAATGCCGTTGGGATTTTGATTGGCATTGCATTAAACCTATAGAGAACTTTTGGTAATATCGCCATTTTGATGATGTTAGTTCTGCCTATCCATGAACAGGGTATATTTTTCCATCTTCTAAGATCTTCTTCTATTTCTCTCTTTAGGGTTCTGTAGTTTTCATTGTATAAGTCTTTCACCTCTTTTGTTAGGTTGATTCCCAAGTATTTTATTTTTTTTGAAGATATTGTGAATGGAGTGGTTGTCCTCATTTCCATTTCAGAGGATTTGTCGCTGATATACAGGAATGCCTTTGATTTATGCGTGTTGATTTTATATCCTGCCACTTTGCTGAATTCATTTATTAGCTCTAATAGTTTCTTTGTAGACCCTTTTGGGTCTGCTAGGTATAGAATCATGTGATCTGCAAATAGTGATAATGTAAGTTCTTCTTTTCCTATTTTTATGCCTTTAATTTCTTTCGTCTGTCTAATTGCTCTGGCCAGTGTTTCGAGAACTATGTTGAACAGAAGTGGAGAGAGAGGGCATCCCTGTCTTGCTCCAGATTTTAGAGGGAATGCCTTCAATTTTTCTCCAACTAAAAAGTTTTTTTCTCAGCAAAAGAAACAATAAGAGAGGTAAATAGGGAGCCTACATCCTGGGAACGAATCTTTACTCCTCACACTTCAGATAGAGCCCTAATATCCAGAATATACAAAGAACTCAAAAAATTAGACAATAAGATAACAAACAACCCAATCAACAAATGGGCCGAGGACCTGAACAGACACTTCTCAGAGGAGGACATACAGTCAATCAACAAGTACATGAAAAAATGCTCACCATCTCTAGCAGTCAGAGAAATGCAAATCAAAACCACCCTAAGATACCATCTCACTCCAGTAAGATTGGCATTCATTAGGAAGTCAAACAACAACAAGTGCTGGCGAGGATGTGGGGAAAAGGGTACACTTGTACATTGCTGGTGGGACTGCAAATTGGTGCAGCCAATTTGGAAAGCAGTATGGAGATTTCTTGGAAAGCTGGGAATGGAGCCACCATTTGACCCAGCTATTCCCCTTCTCGGTCTATTTCCTAAAGACCTAAAAAGAGCATGCTACAGGGACACTGCTACATTGATGTTCATAGCAGCACAATTCACAATAGCAAGACTGTGGAACAACCTAGATGCCCTTCAATAGACGAATGGATAAAAAAAATGTGGCATTTATACACAATGGAGTATTACTCTGCATTAAAAAATGACAAAATCATAGAATTTGCAGGGAAATGGATGGCATTAGAGCAGATTATGCTAAGTGAAGCTAGCCAATCCCTAAAAAACAAATGCCAAATGTCTTCTTTGATATAAGGAGAGTAACTAAGAACAGAGTAGGGACGAAGAGCAGGAGAAGAAGATTAACATTAAACAGGGATGAGAGGTGGGAGGGAAAGGGAGAGAGAAGGGAAATTGCATGGAAATGGAAGGAGACCCTCAGGGTTATACAAAAGTACATACAAGAGGAAGTGAGGGGAAAGGGAAAAATAATACAAGGGGGAGAAATGAATGACAGTAGAGGGGGTAGAGAGAGAAGAGGGGAGGGGAGGGGAGGGGAGGGGGGATAGTAGAGGATAGGAAAGGCAGCAGAACACAACAGACACTAGTATGGCAATATGTAAATCAATGGATGTGTAACTGATGTGATTCTGCAATCTGTATATGGGGTAAAAATGGGAGTTCATAACCCACTTGAATCAAAGTGTGAAATATGATATATCAAGAAATATGTAATGTTTTGAACAACCAACAATAAAAAATTAAAAATAAATAAATAAATAAATAAAAATTAAAAAAAGAAAAAAACATGGATACTTAAAAAAAAAAAAAAAGAAAAGAAAAAGTGTCTGGACTAGGTGTTTGAATTTCTGGGAGTTATCTAGCATCCAGAAACACTCTTGACCCCTTTATAGAAAACAACTGAGAGATCAGTTTCCCCTGGGGCCATCATGTTAGTCACCCATCCTCACCAATGCATAACATAATTCCCAGAATGACATGTAGAAGGATGTTGCAATCTCCTAGACAAAACTGGGATAAGGAGGATAAGGCGACTTCTCCATAGTCTACATGACTAGGTAGCACCCCAAACCTACCCTAAACTCTCATGTCTCATAGCCAAGAGTTCTTCCTGTCTTTCCTATCACTAACCTGAAATAGCCTAACCAGCCTACCACATTTGCATTTGTAATTATCTCTTTCACATTAAGTTAATCTTGTGAACATGGCTGCATCTCATAGGTCTTGTTGACCTACTAGTGATTTCCCTTTTCGCCTTTGTGTTTTGAGAACATCATGTATTTGAGTCTGTAAAACTTTCCATCTTGGAAGGTGATATAATCTAAGATGCATGCTGTCTTCTTCATCTGCATCTGAATTGTGATAGTGATTGAGAAACTGCAGATTTGTCTTATGCCTTCTTAATCCAATTGTAGGGTGGACTCTTCAGATCTGCATACTGTAATTAGGGTGTGGCATTATCTTCCAAGAGTGAAATGCATCATTGAGACACTGTGTGGCAGGACTTCAGATTGGTCTTTGTAGTGCCAGAGCTATTATTGAAGCTTCCTTTGCACATTTCTGTGCAATTTGACTATAGAATTAGTAACAGAAAAGGTTTGCAGTTGGTCTAAGCATTAAAGCTATTTTTTGTTATTAATTTACTTACTTTAAGGAAATCTACTTATTTAAATTTGATAAACCGTGTATGTAAGTATGTCAAATGGGTTCTACTGTCATGTATAACTAAAAAGAACCAATAAAAAAGTTTAATACAGATTTGAAAAGTATGGAAGAGAAGATTTCATTTATTGGTCTTTGCTTCTTATTACTCTCCTGATGTACATTTCTTTTATTCTTTGATTTAGGTAAAATATCTTTTCTCTGATAAAACTGGAACTCTTACATGTAATATCATGAACTTCAAGAAGTGTAGCATTGCTGGAGTAACCTACGGGTAAGTGTGTTTGAAATTTTATTTGTATTCTTCCAACAAAATAAATTTACCTCATCAAGTATCTTGACTTTCTGATATATAAGGAATTTAGATTTGTAGTTATTGTTAAATGTATCTAAAACTTGATGGATCCCAAATGGAACTTTTAAAATTTAAAAAATTGATTTATTTCTGTAAATATTTGCTTAGTAATGTTTTGGGAGATCGCTCAGAAAACACACAGAGTCTGAATTGAAACAAATTAGAGAGCTTTATTACCTGGCCAGGGCCTACATGGCCAGGGGCTGCCTTCCACAGAGACTGACTCTCTTATGGAGAACAGCAATTTCCTGGCCTGTGTCCTGAGGATTTAAGGATGAAAACCACAACTCAGGGACTTTCCTTAGCATCATACAAGCAAGCCAATCACAGAGCTAAAACAGCAGTTAGCAGAACCTGAGAGCCCCTAAGCAGAACTAAGGACTCCCTTGGGCAGGTGTATTGTTGGGTTTTAACACATTTAGGGTACAAACGGAACTTAAGAGCCCCTAAGCAGAACTAAAGACCCCCCAAGGCAGGAGTACAGTTTAGGTTTAAGTACATTTGCGGGGTACAAAGTACACAAAGCACAGCTCTTTTGGGGGACACAGCTTATGTGCTGATTTCCCAGAAATGGCCCTTGCTTACAGGAATAGTAATGGAGTCACTTTAGCAATGCTTACTTATGTTGGCCTATAGCAGTTTCGACTTAATATGACTATTTCTTAACTATTTTTATCTTGTAACTTAACCTATATTATCTTAACATTTATTTATGACTATTGTTAACCTATGCACCCCCAATTATCAATTTTATTGTCTATATCTTATCATTAACATCTTTAAGTCTTATGTCTGTGTACTATATGAGACTATATGCTTATGTTTCTGTATTGTTATTTCTTAAAACTGAAACATGTTTAATTATCTTAACATTAACTCTTGTCTTTATTGTTTTATCTTATTAGTCTATATTTATTAGTCTATAGTTTATGGCTTATCTATAACCTATGACTTATCAATAATCTATAAAATCTCTTATAAAACTATACTGATTAATTTTGACTAAAACAGTAAGAAATTCAAGGGACTCTGTAAATTTATATATATAATCTAATAATTATAAATTTCTTGCTCATGTTTTGATCTGAATGCCTGTCTTTTGATCACAGTGTTGTGACTGCTCTATTTTCCCTCTCTCTGGCAGTCATTTCCCAGAATTGACAAGAGAAGCATCCTCAGATGATTTCTGGTAAGTAGATTCCAGCACTTCTTGATGCTGGAAAAGACTTTAGAATATTTTGATATTAACATTTATTATATGGACATTTTATATGTAAATAAGTTATATACATGTTATTTCAAAAATAAAAGTTATATGTATGTATGTATGTGTATATAATTACGTACATATGTACGTAATTATATACACATACATACATACATAATATATATATGTGTGTGTGTATATATATGTATATATATACATATGTATATATGTATATATATATTCAAAAAAGAACCTGATTAAGATTTAAACACAAATACCACTTTGAAAGTCCATATTTTCAGACCTTTTAACAAAAATATCCTGCCCTTGGCCCAGTACTTCCCATTTCATGGAGGTAGACAGCTTCAACTTTTTGACTTTTAAAAAATATCCCTATATTCAAAATAATATGTTCATACAATTTTTTAAACTTTTTAGACACTGTTGGACTTGCTAGCATGGAAGAAGTTTCAGCATCTGCTGCTCTGTGTGTGATCTGTCACTTGCTCTCTGGTCTCTCTTTCCTAGCCTTTGGAAGCACTTAGCAATTTCTGTATATCCTTAGCATATACAGAAAGGGTCTGTATATCAACCAGGACTAGGCTGGTTTTTCTTATTATGTTGAACTAACTAGGCTTGTTTTTTTTAATTATGCTGAACATTTAATGGGTGACTAGAGAACCATTTCTGTCTCTGTATTTTCTTTTATTAATTTTTGGTAAGTGTCCTTGCATTGTGTTTCTTTGATAATTTTCTTCCCCCTTGATCTTTCTGTTCCCTTGGGTTTCTTGTTAGGCAGATATTCAGACTCTGGGTTGATTTCCAATTGTATCATCTCGTCCTCTCATTTTCCTTTTTGTTGTTGTTGTTGTTTTATTTTCTGATTCTTTTTGCCTTCTATCCTTCATAGTAGTCTTCATGGGCTCTCACTTTCAGTTTTCAAGAGCACTCTTTTGTCCTTGGCCTCGCAGTGTCCATTTCCTCTGCTCTGTTCTCCTATGTCCAACCCCCACCACTTTTTGATTTCTTAATTTTGTTTTGCTTTCTTCAAAAGCCTGGAGATCGGGCTGGGGCTGTAGCTCAGTGGTAAAGCACTTGCCTCACATGTGTGAGGCACTGGGTTCGATCCTCAGCACCACATAAAAATAAATAAAGATACTGTGTGTTCATCTACAACTAATATATATATATATAAAAACCTGGTGATCATTGGATGTGTGCTCATATATATTTTATTCTAAATATACAGAATATAAAATTGTCCATTTTCACTATTTTTAAGACCTCTTTTAAGGGGAGTTTTAATTTCAGAACAAAATTAAGAAGGCATAGAGATTTCCCATATGATTCCTGACCTCCCCTATTATCAAAAGCCCTCCCATCATAGTGGTACATGTATTGCCATTGGTGAACCTATGTTAGCACCTTATAATCACCCAGAGTCCCTACTTCACATTAGGGTTTACTCTTGATGCTGTGGGTTTGGACAAATAAATTATGACATGTATTCATCATTATAGTATCATATAGAGTATTTTCATTGCCCTAAGAATTCTCTCTTCTCTGCCTATTCAGTCCTCCAACCCTCATCCCCCACAACCTCTGATCTTTTTTATTTTCTCAATAGCTTCACCTTTGCCAGAATGTTAAAGTTGGAACCATACACTACTCAGCCTGTTTAGATCAACTTAGTACTGTGCATTTAAGATGCCTTCATGTCTTTCGTGGCTTGATAGCACTAATTCATTTTAGAAATGAATAATATTCCAGATTCAGGGCTTCTCTAAAGTGTGAACTTTTCATTTCTTTCTGGTTGCATTGTCTGACTACATGATGAAGGAAGGCTCTAGTATGCCGAGTTCCTCAAGCAGATTTAGAAGCATCCTGTCTTCTGCCCTCCCTGTACCTTTCAGGAACTCCGTACTGCCATTTTCTCACCCTTTATGGGTTTTTTCTGGGGGGTCAACTTGCATTTTAGATGATCTCTTTTGCAAACCGTTGGCTACTGTTTGCTGTATTAAAGTCTGATATCTATTTGTAGTTAAGATGGATATCAACAATGTTGTAGTCTCTTTTTTCATTGTTATTGTCTCAAAGAAAATGTTTTAGGATGGAATGGAGATGAATGAACCTACTGAACCTCTTACATAGACTTCACACACAGTATGATCACACACAGCCATCATTCAAGTTTCCTGTCTAGTAATTGTGTGCCTTTTTCTCTCTCCTACACATGAGCTTTGGCTGTAAATGCATACAACACAGTAATTCCTCTTGTTTTGTCTACTTTGAGCAGGCACTCTGGGGTGTTTTCCCTGGTAGAAGTTATGCAGAGATCAACTGAAATGACAGTCATAGTATTGATCCGTGGCTTCCGTTTCTTTTTTTCTAAATATGTTATTTATCATAACTTATAAAATATTTTGATTTATGGTAACATTAAGGATTTACCATCTTGAGGTTTGAAATAGAACACAGCATTCTAAATCTTTAAAAAGTTGACTATAAATCTGTGGGCATTTTAGGTGTGATTTTTCTAGAAGCCAGATTCTTACTAGGTTTGAGGTATCTTAATAGGAAGTTTTTAATTGAATGGGTATCTTTTGGTTCTCTCTTACAGTCGGATATCCTCAGCGCCTAGTGATTCATGTGACTTTAATGATCCCAGGCTGTTGAAGAATATTGAGGATAACCATGTGAGTCTGCCAGTTTACTTATAAGACATCAAATAGTTATGCTTCACTGTTATTTATATTTTATGTATGCAGTGTCTTGAAAGTTGCTACTTTGGAGCCTGGAAAGAGATGCAGTCTCAATTTTACTATGTTAAGACTTGGAGAATGTGATCTTAAACAAATACTTTGTGGTGAACACTGCATAAATTAGTGTAAAGCTGGGGCTGGGGTTGTGGCTCAGTGGTAGAGCACTTGCCTAATATGTGTGAGGCACTGGGTTCGATCCTCAGCACCACATAAAAATAAATAAATAAAATAAAGATTGTGTCCATCTACAACTAAAAAACTATTTAAAAAAAATTAGTGTAAAGCTGAATTTAAGTATGTGTTGAAGCAATCACACGAGGATGGAGTCTCACCACAGGATTCTATAATAGTTCAGATTTCTGTTGCTGCAAGAGAGAGCTGCAGTTTTCTTTCTTCACAGCTGTGAATCTAAGAGGCCACTGTCTTAGAAAGTAATTATATATTTTCTAGGATACTTTAGGAAACAAAGGTAAGAAATTATAACAGATGGTATTTATAACATTCTACTCTATGCCAGACACTTGATGATGTATTTCCTTTAGCATTTGAGTCCACCCTGAGAGGGGACAAGGAAGTCACATGGGAAGAGTTAGCCAAGAGTTACCCAGCAGATAAACATAGAAGTGAGCTTTAGAACCTAAATCTGTTTGGATCTTGTTCATTTATTTTTTATTTAAGATCTGGGTTCTTACTGTTTCCCAGGCTGGCCTCTAACTCCAGGGCTGAAGTGATCCTCTTGCCTCAGCATCCCTAGTAGTTGGGACTACATGCGTCGGCCACCATACTGGGTTCATGTTCAGTTCTTAACTAAGATTATCACAGTACCTTCAGCTATTGTAGCTAACCAGGATTAACTGTAGGATCATATCAATTTATTTTTGTTTTTAAGGGTACTTTAAAAAATTTTTGAACTTAGAAAAATATTCAATGATCAAAGCATTTTGGTGAACTGGGAAGGAATCCATGGAAGGGTGATGTGGAAGGTTAGGAAACTTGCTGCTGGTCTGGTTTCATAGGGTTTGTTTCTCAGCATTGATCAACAGATAAAAAAGGTAGCAGAGGGCAAGAGGGTACTGAGTACCTCAGAATCCCAGTGTCAGCTTAAATGAGAGAACCATTTATTTATCCATTGATTTAGCAGATAGTTTGAAGGCCTCATCTACATTAAATACCTTGCTCTAGGTACTAGGGGAAGAGATGAATACAAAATACTCAAGCAATCCTTGTTAACCAGTGAAAAAGAGACATAACATGTTAAGAGTCATCGTCACTTTTTCGGAACAGGTACGATGCAACTCTTGAGCAAGTGGTTTGTTTCGTGTAGGTGGAGGAGTCTCTCCCTTTTTGATGGATTTTTTTGGTTACCACAACTGCTGAGGTGTGGATGTAGTGCTCACCCACCTGTTCCAAGTGTTATTTTCACTGACCAAATGTGGACTGTCATGAAACTTAGAGGCTGGAATGAAACTCATCTGGAGAGGAGATCTTCTGCATGCTGCTGAGATTCTAATTCTTGACATCCTTCTATATTTAATTTATGATTCACACAGTTGTTGTCTCTAAATCTAGCCCCATGTGAGTGTGTGGTGGGCTTCTAAGGGGTCTGACAGTTCCTCACCTCTTTGTCCTGTGCCTGTCCTTCTGTGGATGTTTGAATGTAGACCTAGCACAAAGAGTGTCTCTGCTATTCTTTCCTGTAACTACCACCACTTACTGAGTTCTCCTCCAGGGCCATTGTCACTTCCTTCTCCTTCTAACCTTTCTGTGTTAGTCAGCTTTCTGTTACTAAAACAAATAGCTAGGATAAATCAAGCTAAAAAGAATAGAGGTTTATTTTGGAGAGTTTTGAAGGTTTCAGTCCATGATCAGTTGGCCCTGTTGGTTTGGACCTGGGGCTGCAAATCATGACAAGAGCTTATGCCAGAGGAGGCATGTCCAACTCATGACCAGGAATGAGAGAGTGGAAGAGGTATCTGCTAAGATACTAATATTCCCTTCAAGGGTACACTCACAGTGATAAAACTTCCCCCCGAATAGGTCCCACTTCTTAAAAGTTTCCACCACTTTCTAATAGCACCAACCTGAGGACCAAACCTGTAATACACAGGTTCTTTTGGGGACATTCCAGATCTGAACTGTAGGAACTCCTGAGCCAAATTTCCTTTTATTCTAATGGAAAGGTCAGTGAGAGAGGGTAAATGCAGCCCTCATGTCCTTGATAAGAAGACATTATCATGAGCATTGAAACACAGGGACAATTAAGGGTTTTTAAATAATCTATATGCTTATAATTCAGTAAAAGAATCATGAGGTCATTTATTTGGGAATTTATTTTCTATTTTCTAATAAAAGCCTACTTGCCTGTGTTAGCATTATTCTGCTTTTTTGGATCTTTGAAACCTTTTGAGGACTTCATCCGTGGTACTACATTCCTGAAGCTGTTTGATGTTTAACATCCACCTTCTCTATAAATAATGAAGACCATACCTCAATATTTGTCCTTAGGAAGGTATGGGATAGGATTCAGTATACTCAATGGACGTTTTTCAGCAGTTTTAATACAGGACCTGTGGATCACTTCATTTTGCCATAATGTGGTTGCAAAGAGAAAATAAGCATTTGAGAATTTTCTGCTATGGATACCTCACATTTCTTTTATGTTGTTTTAGGATCATTGATTAAAACTAAAATATTTGACCCAAGAAAATCCTTTTTTTTTTTTTTCCTCACAAGAGAGAACTTGCATCTACTTTGAAGTTTTCATTTTTCCTGGGTCATCATGTCTGACTGTCTGGGTCCTTCAGGACTGCTTCAAACTTTGTGTGGGCTGATGGCCGGGAGGGGATTTGACTCTTAGAGAATCAACCTATGGGAAATTTCAAAACACAGTTCATGTAATTCCTTAAGTGCTTTGCTAACTGGTCCCTTCTGTTTGTGGGAGACACTCCCAATAATGGGCAGAGGAAGAGTACCCCACTTTCTTTTGACACAAAAAATCATTTGTATCTATATATTATTTGTAGATCCAATTGGGCATGCAAACAATTTTAGAATGTAAAATTTCGAGCTATTTGTAAGTTCATCAAATAGAAGATACTCATTTCTAAATGCCTGGCATTTTGTGCATATTAAAACTGTTAACCAAAGGACAGATATGATATGGTTTCATTTATGACGTATATGGGATAGGCAAATTCACAGAGGCAGAGAACAGGAGAGAGGTTACTAGGGGGTGGGAGAAAGAGAGAACAGAGAGTTAAGATTTAATGGCTACAGAGTTATTGTTGGGGATGGTTAAAAATGGATTATGGTGTGGGTACATGGAATTGTGAATGCACACTTAAAATGGTATTTACACGTGTATTTTATCACAATGGAAACCCTTAACTTTAGATAAATAAATAAATAAATAAGTGTACGTATATATGCATGCATATGTGGATATTTGTAATAAACCACTAATTCTTCAAATTATAAAAAAAAATTTTCTTTGTGGAAGTTACAGGAAAAAAAATCTTTATTTTTAAACATGGAGCACTTGTCTGAAATACTTTACAGACATTTTTTCTATAGACTTCAGATTGATTTTGTCTCTTTAATTCATTGTAGAATACTAGGTTAGGTAGAAAAGTAAAGGTACACTAATTTTGTCTCAGGATTTTTTGTTTTGTAAAAATCTTCAGAATTTTGCATGGCACATAACTCAAGGTAGAAACTCAATTTGTTGTTGTTAGGATTATTATTATGCTGTAGTGCTGGGGTGTCAAGTATGATAGGCAAGTAAGTGCTCTACCACTGAGCTACACCTGTAGCCCAAGACTCATCTTGATAAAACTCAGAAAGTATTTCACTATTAGGCTTATTTATTTGCTAGTAAGTCAGTGATCCCCTTTTTCTCTTTGTGGGACAAAGTTGTGTGCAGCGCTGGATGAGTCTCAGATGTGGGGAGACAATCTTGAAGTCTATTTCTCAAATTGAAGTGCTTTTGGGAGAAATTTCTTATCATTTTTGCAGTGTTGGCCTTAAGGGATTTGTAAATTATCTAATCTCATTTATCTGACTTCCATCAACTATAATTTAATGTGAATTTTCTTTTCATGTAGGCTGATAAGAAGCAGCAATGTGAATAGTTGTGATTTCCTTCCACAAACTTGCCCTTAAGTTATAATAAAAGGTCAGAGAAGAAATGAAAAACATTTTTTTGTGGCAGTCATCATCCATTTATGACTTAAAAAACCAACCTCCATGAAAAACAAGGAAGCAGCTTAAATGTAAAAACACACCTATCTCAGATGTATAGCCAGTGGCCTATAAATTAGAAGGGTCGCACTTGAAGACCTGGGCATGAAAATAACCTCAGTTAATGGAAGCTTGTTACAACCACTGCCTTTGAACATCATTCTTGAAGTGCTAGCTCATGCCAACAGTGGGGAACTGAGCAGGTTAATGTGTTGGAAGGAAAAGGGAAATCGTGTGATTTGTGGATGATAAAATTGTTTGCCTTGAAATCCCAGAGAGTGAACTAAAACTCAGCTAGTAAGAGCTCAGTTACAATTGGAGATCAAATTAATTTACTAAAATCAATGTGTTTATTTACATCTCAATAATAAACTACTGTAAAAATATAGGGAAGTCAGATTCCATTCATAATATGAAAAGCAACTGATAAAATGCCTTAAATGGATATTAAAAGGAAAACTCCTTATACCAGTGAAATTTAGTAGTGTCTATTCAAGCAGAGGAAATACGGCACAACAAAGCAAATGAGTGACTCCAGAGTCAGGCAGCACCCAGAACCAGAGGTTCTGAGAAATCCACCTACCACTGTGATCTGACAGCATTTATACAAAAACAGAAGTGTGTCATCAAAAACAAGTGAATAGGCTAAGCTTAATCAACCAGATAGATGCAACTTGGCTGGTTACAGTTTAATTAGTTAATTGGCTATAGGACGTCCTGCAACCAACCACAGCTCAGTTACTGAGATTAAATTTGTTATTGGGTTTGTCTGTTGGTGCTTAGTACAGTTGCCCTTTTCAAATCCATCCCCCATTCTGACTTTATTGAAAACAATGCTTTGTATACAGTAGTCACTCAAGTATTTTTTGAGTAGACCAAAAATTTAATAAGATACAGGCCAGGTCCTGTGTTGAGAGGATTTAGATGCCTTTAATGAGTAGGAATACATAATGTATTCTTAGATGGGAAAGACTGTATTAAGGTGTCATTTTCCTTGTGATTATAAATGTGTGTAATCCCAATTTAACTTACAGTTTTTTTTCTTCTCAAGGAGGATGAGAGAAATGGATTTTTTAATGAGGAAAGGATGCACTGCCCTATAAGTGTTGAAATTATGTAGTTAAAAGATCAGACATGAGGGCCTTGGGTTCCATCCCCAACACCAACGCCACACACATACACAAACCAAGATTAGGCATACTGTAGGACAGATGCCAGCACAGCAGGATGGAAAGTCAAGGAATGCACTTGTTTTGGTGATTCCATGTGTATTGGGAGTGACTTTCCTTTCCTGGGCACACTTCTGTGAGGAAGGCAGAGAGGACAGCCCCACTTGTCCCGGGATCTTAACGGAAGTGGGGAGAAGCCCATGTGCAGCTTGGGAAGTGTGAGATGTGAGTGGGACTGGGGCCCTGGGACTCGCAGGAGCAGCTAGGCTGCCTTGATTCTCTTCTGATGGCATGGGCTGGCACTCCAGAGACTCGGAGACACTGAGAGAAGTGACTGCTGCCCAAAGCCTGAGGGGTGGGTGGACAGAAGAACCTCCTGAAAGCAGATGGAGGGCTATGGCAATGGGACACTCGGAGAGGATGTGCCTTATTTGAAGAACTAAAGGACATCAGATCACAGTGGCAGGAGGTGGACTAAATGGGGAACAGGTGTCAGGTCCCAGGGGGCCTGGGGTTCAGCTTAGTATATGGACCCTGTGCTAGAGGGAGAAGGGAATCATTACTGGATTTGAAGCAGGCAATGACATGCATCCAGCTGCAGCATATGGTAGCAGTACTATAACTGACAGGCTAACTTGGCCTCCTGTTTGAAGCCCACAGCCCCTGTTATACAGGAGTTCCTCACCCTGCTGGCTGTTTGCCACACTGTTGTTCCTGAGAAGGATGGAGATGAAATCATCTATCAGGCCTCTTCCCCAGGTGAGTGCTCTAGGTGGATGTGCCCTGCTGGCTCCTGTCCTCGAGATGGGTGTTTGCAATTATTTGTAACAGATGTGGTGATGTAGCTTGCCCCACAGAGACCCTGCTGTTTAGCTCTGGCCTCTTCAACATTTTCACGTCATGACTATTATCATGACTACAGGTATTACAACTCAAGAGAGCTGGTGCTGAGCTCTCCTGATTGCCATTACACTTTAAGTGCCAGGGAAGATCAGGGCCATCTTGTATTTCCTAGTAAAAGTTATGGAACTGGACAAAACTCTCAAGAGAGAACAGGGCTGGTTTTTTTTTTTGCTCATCTTCCCTTCCTTGTGGATTTTCCAACCATTGTGGAAGGTATATATTGGAGCAGTTACTCTTTGCCCACTTCCTGGTGCTCTAAATCCCACAGAACTACAACTAAAACACGACTTTGCTCAGAGGAGATATTTAGTCAGCGGAAATATTAGTTATGTCCATTTGAGAGAACTTGATCCTAACCAAGAAAAGCAGGAGTGCAAATCACTCTTCTGGTGAATTGGCTTTAGGTCCACATCTTTCCATCCTACGGAAGTGCCCATTTCAGGTCCCTGGTGGTAGCAAGAGTGAGTGCTCCTAGTCTGAATCCTTACTACCATGCAGGTAACACCAGGCCTCCCCAACCACGGTGGGTAATTTGAAAAATGGTACTTCCCAGAATTCTATCATGAAGGATTAGTCAGTATTTCACTGATTTCTTATTGACAGATGAAGCTGCTTTGGTGAAAGGAGCTAAGAAGCTGGGCTTTGTCTTCACAGCCAGAACCCCATACTCAGTCATCATAGAAGCGGTAAGGGACATAATTGGGCACATTCCAGTTCACTGTTTTTAAGATTTTCTACTTGAAATGGTATGTCTGTGGTGAATCTCATGGCTAAGTTTCTGTTTTTATTTTGATGAAAAATTAGACTTGAAATGCTCAGTTGAAACACTGAAGTGGTTATGTGATTTTATTTGCTTATCCCCTTTATTTTGTATTGCAGTAATTTCCCCCTCTTCTTCTCGAGAAGTCATTCATGAATTATTTTGAAATTGCTTGCAGGAAAGAACTTCTCAAGTCGTCTCTCTGTTTTCTAGAAATTGGGAAAGTAACTTCAAGGCCTGGCTGTCCTTGAGGCAGACTTTACACCTCTCTGTAGCCCCAGTGCCTGAGAGTTCTTGCACAGTGGAGTCCTGAGTCCACTGGGCTTCCCTCTCCATAGCTGTGAGGGCTGCGAGTTAGAGGTTAACATCTCTTCTATCTATATGACTATTCCCTGAAGTCAAGGGGTTTATGTATTTTTTCTGATTTGAATTTTCTTTCCTGTGGGTTGCAGAGGGAAATTTAGCAATAGGAAAAGCTTTTTACAAGTCGAGTATCCCTTTTCCAAAATGCTTGGGACCATAGGGTTTTGGATTTTGGATGTTTCAGATTTTGGAATATTTGCATATCATGATAATTTGAAATGGAACCCAAATCTAAACTTGAAATTTATGTTTCATATAGACCTTATTCACACAGCCCGAGGTACTTTTGTATGACACCTGTGTTTTGACTGCAACCTGTCACATGAGGTCAGGTGTGGAATTTTCCATGGGTGATGTTATATTGGTGCTAAAAACATTTTAAGTTTTGGAGCCCTTTGGATTTTGGAATTAGGGATGTTTGACATTTATCAAGAATAAGATTAGGTACAAACACTCTGGGTGAGCAACAGATAAAAATGATGATTGGGACTGGCGAGGTGCTGGCGACGTTAGTGATGACCAGAGAGAAGGGCTGTACTACTCTCTGGATGTCACTGCCTTCCCTCACTTCTGCCCATCCCTCAATTTGGGGGAAATCTAATGGATTATTATAGATTTTGGCATAATGCATCCTTAAGTCCCAAGACTGCCTTAATGCACGTGAAGTTCACTTCCAAATAATATAATA